GATAATTTTGACATTTTATGTCCTTATAGGATGGAAGGGAACTTTCAAAGTTCAGAGGGGAGCTCCTCACTTTGATTTATACTTTTCTTCATTGTTCATTCCTTCAACCGTGCTGCATGGTGGAACAGAATCAGTTTAATAGTGCTGCATGGTGGAACAGAATCAGTTTAATAGTGCTGCATGGTGGAACAGAATCAGTCCAATGGTGCTTGCTGCATGGGGGAACAGAATCAGTTCAATGGTGCTGCATGGTGGAACAGAATCAGTCCAATGGTGCTTGCTGCATGGGGGAACAGAATCAGTTCAATGGTGCTGCATGGGGGAACAGAATCAGTTCAATGGTGCTGCATGGTGGAACGGAATCAGTCCAATAGTGCTTGCTGCATGGGGGAACAGAATCAGTTCAATGGTGCTGCATGGTGGAACGGAATCAGGGATGGTCACATCATGATTTCTGACCATTTGCTCATTAATTCATTCATGCTCCAAATATTTACTGAGTATTTACTAATACCTGCTGGCCCCCAGGGTATAGACATAGGAGCTCTGACTATAAACCAAAGAGATCTTTATTCAACTGTGCAGGCTTAGCCTATATTGGCGGTGGGGGTATGTGTATGTCTTCACAGGGGTCGCTTAGAAAGTTGGGGACATATTCCAGGGGAGTAGCTGATGCCCAGAATGTCTTTGAGAACTCCTATTTTAGAATCACCTTGAGATCCGATTTATAAGCCAAGGAGAAAATCAGTTCCAGCACTTTTCAATTCTCTCTCTTTCTTTCTTTTTCAGTAAAAAATGATGATCTACCACCATTCCAGCACACACACACACACACACACACACACACACACACACACACACACAAATTCAGCAGAAATGTCATCTAATAAAAACCAGATCATTTTTCAGACACTGGAAAAGCAGGGGTTGTGGCAATGGACTCACCTGAGTTTGAACACTGAGTCCACTTGGCCTGTCTGTGTAATCCACAGCCAAATGACTTCACCTTTTCAGGTCTCAATTTATGGTCTTAAAAATAAATACGATAATAAACCTTGTTGCATCTCTGTGAGGATTGGAGATAATGTAATTATGAGGTCTAATGTAGCACCCTGAATAGAGACAAAACTCAATAAATGGTATTGTGAGGGACTTGTAGAATTTTACAAACATTCTGCACACCTTTGGCAGGCATGCTTCAGTGTTCAGGCACTACACATATTAGATGGGTAATGGTCGCGTGCTTGGTAAAGTACAGAATAGCAGAGTCCTTGTTTTCTTATTACACCTCAGAGAGAGGACCATGCAACTTAGAGGTCTCATCCAGTGTCTCCACCTCTGCCATGCAGGGAGTTGAAGGGGAGGACTCAGGTCCCCTAGAGGTAGAAGTTGTGGCAGCTGGTACCAGTCCCTGGAGGCAGCAGGCAGAGCTGATAGAAATCTGCAGGTCTCAAGCTTGTCATAAGATCTGGACTCGAGACTTAGGCATCCTGGGGCCCCCGAGGGCAGGGGCTCACCACCTCCTAATACTCCAACTTTACTATGTTCAGCAAGGGGTAAAGAGTGGATATGGCTGCTGGGAGTGGCAACTTCCCATGTAGCCTTCCTCTTTCCCTGCCCAGAAGCCAGCCTAGACTGTTTGCCATGCACAAAACCAACATCCAGGTAGTCGTTTTAACCCATCAACAACCTCCCACAGGTAGTATCTTCTCATGTCCCCACAAAACAAGCTCAACTTTGAAAGACTGGTAATTACTGCCCCATGGGATGGATGGGCACACCAAGTCTTGTCCAAGACTTTATACAAGTCATTGGTTTTACTGTTGAGGCTGGGACGGACACCTGGAAGCAAGTCTGCTATCTCCAGCCCACTGTGCCGAGCTGTCTATAACACATCAAGAAAACCTTTAGAGACCTGCCTCACCACCAGCCTCATAGCCGAAATAAATAATATCTCTACAAGTATAAATTTTCCAAGAAATAAAATGTTAAGCCCTCAAGTTCAAAAGAGGAGAGAGAAACAGAAGAAAGAACTAAGGAATGATTACGGAAGATATCAAATACCTAAACAGGAGGAAGTCTAGAGAAACAGTGTGTGGAAGCCGGGAGAACACTGTCCTTCATACAGAGTCAGGCTGACTGGCTCTGTTCCTTATTAGCTATGTGACCTTGGGCAAGTCATTCAACATTTCTGGATGCCCACCTTAGAAAGCCATAGGATTGTTATGAGAATTCAATGCAATGGAAAAGCGTGTGGAGCCTCCTGCAGGGTGCCTGGCACGTGGAATTGATTAGAATCATCCTATGGAATGTCAGGGCTGGAAGGAGCTTGAACGATGACCTCATCTCAGTGTCTCATTTCACAGACCCAGAAAACAGGGCCCAGAGAGAGGAAGTGACTTGCCCAAGGTCACATAGCAAAGTCATGGAGATGTTGGGTCTAGCACCCTCAGTTTATTTTGAAATCAAACACCAAAACCTAACAATAGACCTGATCTCCCAAGCTGTGCAAGGGTGGAAGAAGCTTTTTCCAGGGTTCCAAAACTTAAGCTTTCTTTCTCCATTCAACAAGCCAAATTATGCTATTTCTGTCCAGAAAAAATTACAAAAATTTTAAAAACAATATTAATACTAAAATCCAGATCTTAACAAAAAGACACTCTTTTAAGCCTTATTTTTCCTGCCTTCTTCTCTCACTGCCCCCCCCCAACCCAAATATTTTGCAATAACAGTAATGCTGCAAGGAAAGAAAAAATAAAAATCTGATGCACTTAACAGATATTTCAGTACACTAATGCATCACAGATGTTCATATCAAACTGTGCACGCGTGCATGCAATTTTACTGAGAAGGCTGTTGCATTTCGGATTTTGAATTTTTGGATCCCTAATGACCTCATCTGCCTAGGCTCCAGAATCCCACCCTTCCCATTTAGTCCAAGGCTGCCCAAGGGGATGGAGGAGAGATTTCATCGCCTCCCTACAAAATGATAACAGGACAAATTGGCATGATTGGACACTCAGGCAGGTGGTGAAGGGTATGCAGATTAAGGAACTAAGGGGAGTTCTGTTTTCTTTTGTGCGGGACTTGCTTTCTGCAGCTCTTTTGAGGAGCTGGACCCAAAAACAATGTCAAGAGTGGGCCCAGGCTGGTGACGGGTGGGCACATTTTTGAAACAGAGATTGAAGTCTGTTTGATCTTCAAGCATGAGCTTTGGAGACTGTCAGCAGGCTCCCTCCCGGCCGATGAACGGCTCTCAGTAACTTTTCCTAAAACATAACCTCACACACACTTTCTAGCAAATGCTTTCACCCTACCAAAGCCATCATTTGGTTAAACGGCAGTGTTTCCAGACCCCAAAGAAAGATAGTTTTGTTGTTTTAAGAGAGACAGATTAAAGCTAGGGGCTGCTTAGCCAGAGTTTGTGTGTGCTCCCTTCAGCCTTTGTCGGATTCCTCTGTGGTTGGTGCAAAGAGGGTGTTGAGAGCGATGGTGGATACCTCACCTCTAAAAAAGATATCGAGGCCAGACCTAGGCCTCTGAACAGAGAGGCCTCCCACAAACCTGCCTCCGAAATGAGATGGGCGGTGAGCACCGGGGGTCCCGACACAGATAATATCAGCTCCCGAGGCTGGCAAGGGAAAAGTCACTTCAGAGGGAGAAAGCGGCTATGTTCAGAGGAATCAGCACTGGGCCAGAGAATACACAGGATTTTCCCCCGTGGAGAAGGAGTCAGGCGTAGTCAGAACCCTGCAGGGCGTGACTAACTGCCCCAATGCTCCTGCCACTGGGGCCCTCTGGGTAAGGACTCCACAATTATGGGAGAGCCAGCAGGAGAACCGACAAACCCGCCTTTCATTTGGCCGGCAAATCAATCTGGCTTCTTACCTCCCCAGGGACAATATTGCATTTCCCTTGGAAAAACAAAGGCCAGAGATCTTGGAAAGGGGATCAGTTTCTGCCGCTGTTTCCCTGGTGAAGAGCTTGCAACATCTCCGGGGCAGCAAGCAGGTCTGATTCCAGTGGTAGTTTCTGGTCCAGTCAATTTATGAGGCTCTCTCCTTAATGGGCAGCATGTCTCTGAGCCATGCCTCACTCAGGAAATTGGCCCAAGCCCCATCTTGGGGCCTCCTTGAAGGAGTCCCCATCCTGGGATTGACAGTCCCGTTCTCAAGACACAGATGTGAACTCATTGTTCCCAGGGTCTCAGAGTTGAGTTTGGGGCCAGTGAGTAGCAAGTGACCTCTGTCCATGGAGACAGGGCTTTTAATGACATTTTGCTGTATCAGATCTCTGGCAGCCAGAGACTTTAAACCTCTTAAGCCCCTCCCTTTTCTCCTACTTCCGAGGTTCAGAAATCAGGACTGTCAACCTTTAAGTGAACACACTTCTCTGAAATTATTAACCTTAAAACTGTCCTGGCTGACTTTCTCCTGGCCTTAGGGAGGCGGTCTGAGGGTCACTTAGAGCTTTGCAAAGAGCTGGGAAACTGATGGTGCTTAACCTCAAATGGCAAGCAGCACTCTACTGTTGCCAGGTCCCGGGCAACTCCTTGTCGGCTCAGCCCCGGGAGCTATGCCTTCCTCTTGTTTTCTCGGGCACTGTCCACACACCAGCCTCAAGACAGCCTCCATGGCCTCAGGAAGGCCTGACACACACCAGAAGCCCCTCTTTTTGTTTTTGATCACTCTGATGCTCTGAGGGAAATTCTTTCTGCCCAGGCAAGCACAGCAGGTGAGGAGTGTACATCCCCAACATGTAATACTGCTGCAATAGAAGCAAACACTCAGACTCTTACCCCAAATTCCAGTACACACCACTCTCAACTGATACTACCAGAGCAGCCAAGTGCTGCCTTGCAGCCCAAAAGAACCTCTCCTTCCAGAAAAAGGACCTGACTCTGGCTGCCTCCCGCTCCCCGTCGGAGAAGAAAGACAATCGGAGAAGAGGACTCAGGCGCCCTGGGCTGTCAGCTCCAGCCTGGGGCCCTGCATGCCTACCTGGGAGAAGTTGAGCCCGTTGTTGAGGGGATGGCACTGCTCCTCCACCTGCTCCACAGCCCCTGTGGTCTTCTTCATCTTCTCAGCCTGCTGGGCCAGGTAGAGGTCGAGCACGGGCACCCCGCGGAAGCGCACGTCCCTCTCGGTGAGCGAGTTCACCATGAGCATCACCCAGACGGGCCTCTTGCGCTCCCAGTTGCCCGCGATGGCATTGAATAGGTAGTCAGCATAGAGCCCCCTGCCCCGCTGAGCGGGCGTCATCCAGGAGGGCATCATCAGCTTGACGTAGTCCAGGTGGCGCTTCAAGCGCCAGTAAAGCTCGCGAGGCAGCACATCCTGCAGGTTTTCCCCGTGCGGCAGCAGCTGGCAGCTGGCCAGGGCCGAGATGGTGTAGGGGTCTGTCAGGTCCAGCTCAAAGTAGACATGGGCGCTAGCCTGGAAGGCTGCCTTGGAGTTGTCCGGGATGAAGTCCCAGACACGGGTGTAGGGGACGTGGATAGTGCCAAACAGGTAGGCCGGCGGATCACGACGAATCGTCCACAGGAAGGAGTTCAAGTCCCTCTGCTGCAGGAGTAGAGGAGAGGCAAGGCAGTGAGGCCGAAGGCAACAGAGTAGAGTCAGGGTAGCCCAGAGGGAGGTGCAGAGGGAGGTGGGGATGGGAGGCAGAGACCATACACAGGCCATGGTAAAGAGCCAGGGCTTTGGAGCCTGAAAGACCCACATTGAAAACCTAGCTTTGCCCTGTCTTAGATGTATGATCTTGAGTGAATCATTTCACTTCCCACAGGCTCCGTTTCCTCATCTATAAAATGGGGGTGAAAGCAACTACCTCAGGGGTTGTTGGGAAGATTAAAAGATACAATATATGTATATTATGCTCTCAGACTAGTGCCAGGCACAGAGGAAGTCGGCAATGAAGGGAAACTCTCATGATTAGCAATTGCCATGAGTGCCAAGGACTGCCACACCACCTGAGAATATTCATGCTTGGCCAAGTCAAACCTTCACCGGTGGTGTTTCATGTGGAGGGTGGGGAAAGGGGGACCAAGAGTCCTGCTCTGGCAAGAAGGGAGGAAGTCATGTAACTTTTAAATCCAACCATTAGAAGATATATGCCAAGAGCACTTTGAAAGCAGAACACCTATTAAAAATAGCACACCTATTTAAACAGCTACTTCACATTCATCACGGTGAATACACTTTTCTTTTTGGAGGGCAGGTCTGGGGTGTCGGCTACTTTGCTCCACCAGCTGAGACCATAGATGAGAAAGTGCTTTAAAATCTTGCAAGGCCAAGTCAAGTTTCAGAATCTGGCTTGGGAGGAAAGGATTCCATTACAATTAGTCCCAAGAAATGTACATATTCTGGGTACTTTCCAGGCTCCTCCCCTAAAAATGTATACCTGATCTCCAACCCCAGTTGTTTGTCATTTTCTATGACCTAAGCTCTGACTTTGGGGAGTGTGTGTGTGCGTGCGCGCGTGTGTGTAGGAGCTGAGGAGAGGTATGCAGACAGGGGTCCTTTCTACAGATCCAAGTCAGGGCTGGGCATAAAGGGCATGAGAAGGGGACTGTCATTTCTCTTAGGCAAAGCCATTTTCCATCCAGAAAAATCCCTGGAGTGCCCACTGACCACTTGCAAGCTTTAGACCAACTCATAACATTTTCCTGTCTGATTCTAGCACAAATGAAAAGTATGTGTTGGGATGGGTAGCTTGTGGGAGAACAGTACATTACTTTACTAACTATCCAAAACTGTAAATCCCAGCATGTTGGCGATAGACTGAGAGCCCAGCCAGCCAACGAGCTCCTTGTTTGTGCACAAGGCAGGCCGCTGGAGGTGCACCTTGCCCAGGGTCAGCGAATTCCGGGCTGACAGGCAGCACACCGACAGCAGCCAGACCCTACGGTCTCCTGGCCTCCAATTCAGGGTTACTGTCAATGCATTAATTTACACTTAGAGGGAAAGATACTGAAGGAAATAAAGAGGTTCTTTGTTTTGGAAGGAAAATTAGGAGAACCAGTAATTACTTGACCCCAGGAAATATTAGGCCAGTACGTCCTGGCATTGCCTTTTCCTCTCCTCTGAAATCTTCCCCCTTTTCATGAAATATGGACGCTTGGGAGAGTAGGTGGTGGAAGCCTGGACCGCAGAGATGGAGGTGAGAACCAGCAACAGGGAGAAAGTTTGTCTTAGGTCAGAGTGGGAGGGCAGGGAGAAAGAGGGAAGCCTGGGAGGGGGCAGAGTGTGTGAATGGGAGAGCAAAAGGTTCGATAGAAGTCAAGAGAAGAGCAAGGAATGCTAGAAAGACACAGTCAGAAACGGGCAGAGAGACGAGAAGTGTAAAGAGAGAGAGAGAAAAAAAAAACATGAGAAAGGAGAGACAAAAAGGGGCACAGAGAGAGGAAGCGTCCAAGCAGGACCACAAGTCAAGGGGAGAGCCCGAGAGCGGCAGCGTGTGGAGAAGGAACCAGAGAGGGAGCGCCCCTTCTCGCTCCTGGCTTGGAGCTGGAGCCGGGGCAGGCAGGAGCGAAGGAAGGGCGCCCGAGGCTGCGCCCGGCGGGTAGAGGTGGAGCGGGTGGGCTAAGGTGGGTGCGGAAGCAGTACCCAAACCATCGTCCCATGGGACTGGAATACCCAAGTAGGCGGGAGAGTGGCTGGGAAGGCGCTCGCTCACCGATCCGGGCGGCCGGCACTGTCCTCCGTCAGGGGGCTGCGGGCGGGCGCGAGCGGTGGCGAGGAGGGCGGCGAGCAGCGGCCCCGCCAGGGCGGCGTGCATCCTGCCGCGGCCCGCGGGGCGCGGGGGACCCTCCCGGGCGGCGCCCCTCAGCGGGGCGGGGAGTCCCCAGTTGGGCACGGAGTTTCCTCTGGAGCACTGGGCTCCAGCCACAGGATGCTGGTCGCCCTCTGGGGCGTGGCTGACTGTCCCTGTCGAACCTGGGGGTTTCTCTGGGGCGGGGCTCCGTCTGTTGGAAGACAGGGACCCTCTAGGGCTGGGCCCCGCCCCCGGGCGCTCAACCTCGCTGGCTGAGCCCCCAGGTGCTGAGGGCGTGTTGGGGTCCGGGGGCGCGCGGGGTCCCGGAGCTGCGTCGGGGTTCAGGGGCGCGCGGGGTTCCTGGGGCAGAACCGAGAACCTGGGGTGCGCGGGGGTCCCTGGGTTATGCTGGGCGCCCGGGGCGCGCAAGGGTCCCAGGGGTGCGCGGCGCTCCAGGAGGCGCGCAGTGGGACAAGTGCGGCGGAGGGCGCGGCAGGGGTCGGGGGCGGCTCTGGGGCGGCGGGCTGCCCCCGAGTCCGGCTCAGAGGGGCGGCGGGCGGCCGCGCGGCCGCTGCCCGGGCTCCGCCATGCTGCTCCGCGGCCGGGAGAGAGGGAGAGAGGAGGGCGGGAGAGCGGCGCGGAGCCGGGCCGGGCGGGGGGCTGGGGCCGCTGAGGCGGGGGAGGGGAGGACCTGGCGCGGGGGGCGCGGGGGCGGGGGACCCGGGCCGCGCCGGGCCGGGCCGGGCCGGGCGGCAGGGAGTCGGGGCTAGCTCCGCGCCCGGGCGCGGCGAGGCGGGGTCTGATGGGCATGGCAGGCGCTCGCTCGCTCCTCTCTGGCTCCCTCGCTCGCTCCCTCACACGCGCGGAGGGAGGCGAAGCCCGCAGCAGCCACTTCTCAACTTTCCAAACTTCCCAGCGCAACTTTTTCCTCTCCTCCCCTGCCCGCGCCTCCTCCCCCATCCCTCCCCCTTCCCATCGCCTGGCGCGACCGGGCCGCAGCTTCGCCGTGAGACCGCCAGAGGGCGCCCGGGCTAATGACCGGCTCGGCCAACCTCCGCGGGCTCAGCGGCAGAAGCGGACTGGGTGGCAGCGACAGATTTGGGGACCAGCCTCGCCCAAAGCGTCCCTCCCGCAGATCCTGGCAGGAGCGAACAGCGAGAGGGACAGAAGTTGGACTGGGGAGGTAGCAGTCTCTCGAAATTCAGAAAGCTGCTGTGTACAACTTTATGACATGCGTAGCGCTGGGATGAGCTTGGTAGGTGCTCTGCAAACACCAACTGAAAAAGAAAAGAAAAAGAAATCCCCAAAATTCCTTGGAATCTTCCATTTAAGTAAATCCCCTCTTATCTATGTCCTTGGACCCACGCAGTATCCCTGTGCCTGTCTCTGGAAGAGTGAGGATTGATATCGCAGTGTCTTAGACCACAAGACTTGAAAGACCCCTTAAACCAACCTATTCGTCCTCAAGAGGCACATGAGACTTAGAGAAAGCCAGGGCGCAAGATCTAAGCTTCTGAGTTGTTTCCAGCAAATGGAGAAAGGGAGGCACAGGCACCCCTGCTTGGTTCTGTTAAAGGAGAGTTTGTTCCTATTCTGACAACAGGTATTGACGGATGAATTAGGTGATACTGTCAGGAGCCCGCCCACAGCCTAGAGAAGGAGACAGACAGGGACAGATATGCAAACAAGCCATTAAAATACAGATGATGAGGGCCAGGAGAGACAGAAGCACAAGGAAATGGGAGCAGAGAGGAGAGCTCCTAACACAGCCCAGAGGCCCAGGGAAGATGCCTGGGAGATGGTTTTGAAAAATAAATCAGAGGTGGCTTAGAGAAAGAGGTGCACACGCCTTCCAAGTGGAAGAGCAGGTGCCAAGGCATAGCAGTGTGAGAGCACTCCAAGTAGTTACCCATGGCTGCAGCAAAAAGCAAGTGGCAGGAGCTGAACCTGTGTCTTCCGGCCAGGCTGGGGAGTCTGTCAGTTCTAGGTATCAGGTGATAGGAAGTTACTGCAAGATTTGAAGTTTAAGGTGGCTAGAGTAGATCTGTGCTCATCGGGGGCATGAATTGGAGGGGGCAAGTTGGAGGCAGGGAGACCAGTGGACAGATAGTGAGGGGGGAGCCAGAGCCCAAGCCTCGGTCTCCTGACTCCCAGCCCAGTGTTCTCCCCACTTCTCCCACTCATGCCTGCAGGTACCAGATTGAGCAGCTAGAAAGTGGCCACACCAGAAGGCTGAGTGAGAAAGACCAAGCAGGGCCGGAGGGTCAGAAAGGTTTTCCAGAGCACAGGATCTGGGAGGTTGGGAGGAACACAGGAAGGAAAGAAGGGGACACCAGAGACTGGCAGGTTGACCCTCATGTGCCACATGAAGTTGCCACTTATTGTAAGTTACAAGTGAATGCATGTTGGCAATTTCATATGGTTCAGTTTACTGGGTGTCTGGAGCAACCTCAGCTTCTTAGCTATACACACACTTGGTGACAGACACCGAGCAGGCTAGAGTGCCCAGATGGTACGTATGAGAGCACAGGACAGCACCATGCTTCCCACACACACAGCTCTGAGACCTGCAGCTCTGACAAGAGATGCCTTTAAAGAGCCTCCACTTTCCGGAGCTCCAAAACTCCTTACGAAGTCACCACTCTGCTGGTAAGGATGAGGGGAGGTGAGAGCTCAATTCCACTGGAGGGAGGGACATGGGTCCTTGTTGGAGAATTAGAAGATAGAAATCAGATAGTGAATAAGAAAGAGCCTGATCAATTTAAAATAATGGTGTGTAAATATGTGTGTGGATTTTGGAAACCTTCCCTTCCTGTATTGTAAACAAAGATTCCCTGGTATCTTTTTTCCTAAAATTATAAAAGTTGTGCTGGCTAATTTTCATGAGTGTCAGCTATGACTTCCTCCTCCATGGTACACGTGGTGACTGTGACCAGGGCAGAACAGTTAGCTTCTCTGTGCCTCTCTTTCCCCAGCCAGTTTCCTGTCCCCCTCACTTTCTGTGAGTCAATGTGTGCAATAATGTCTTAAGATCTTCACCAGTATTGTTACTGATATTCTTAATGAGCTGCAAGAATAAATAGATTTTTCTATTCCTGGATATATACCCAAGAGAACTGAAGACATTCATCCACCCAAAATACTCTATGTAAACTGTGATAGCAGCATTATTTGTAATAACTGAAAGGTGGAAACAACCGAAATGTTCATCAACTTATGAATAAATTAACAAAATGTGATATATAAAAATATCATATCATTTGCCTTAAATATATACATTTTAAAAACATGTTATAGTCACATGATGGAATATTATTTGGCCATAAAACAAAATGAAGTACCGATACATGCTATTTCCAGGATAGCATAAATCAATCTTGAAAACATTATGCCAAATGAAGCCAGTTGCAAGAGGACATATATTATTCTATTTGTATGAAATGTTCAGAATAGGCAAATACATAGCAAGGCGGAAAGTAGATTGGTGGTTGCCTAAGGCTAGGAAAAATGGGGACAATGGTGGGGCCATAACTGGAGGGTACTGGGTTTCCTTTTGGAGTAATGAAAATATTCTAGAATGGTGATGGTTGCACAACTCTGTGAATATATTAAAAACCATTGAATCACATTTTAAATGGGTGGATCATAGGGTATGTGAATTATGTCTCCATAAAGCTGTTACCAAATAAATAAGTTTGGGGCCTCAGGAGAGAGTGTTCCTCAAGACTCAAGAGCAAGGGTCTCAGTATTTTCAAACCATTTTTTTCCTCCCACATTGTGTAGTGTGAGAAACCCTGGATGATGATAGTCCTCAGTCCTGGAGACTTATCCTGCTTCTGCTAACATCTCACGAGGCATCTTTGGGTAATTCACTTGTTCTCTCTGGACCTGAGTAAGAACTGAGGTTTCATGTCATCAGTATGAAGAAGTTTGTGGAGCAGGTCACCTTTAGGAGCCTCTATACCTAACAGTGGAGTTCTGAGCCCCTTGGTCACAGCCTGCTTAGAGCCTTTAGGCAGGATGGGGAAGAGCACAGGGCTCAAGAGAGAGTCAGGGGACTCAGAGCTTGCCTCCTCTCCGCTGGGGCACATCTGGCTCACTTTCCTTTTATTGCATTTTAATTAAGTTGTTCAATCAAATTGGTACCAGGAATTGAAGGCTGTAACAGCTGGGGCAGGAGCAGAAAGCCTTGTAGCGGAACTAAACCAACAAAGTCTGCCTCCTGAGCAGATCCAGGAGCCCAGTGCTGCTACAGAGCGTCTCTCAGGGAGGGAGGTGAGAGGCTCCCCTGCGGCAGTCCACTGACAGGAGGAGCTTTGCTCTGGGCCTGAGGGCTGCCCTCCTGCAAGGCCATTGCCCTGGTCGTTGGCCACACTGGCATTTTCAAATGGGCCTAGCCTGGCCTGACTTCCAGCTCTGACTCCTATCCTGGTCCTGCTCCTTCCTACCCACCCTCAGGCTCTATCCCCTCCACACCCTCTCCCCGATTCCCTTACCTGAGTTGGCAGTTAATCTGATGATGGAACGACATGGGCCGAGGGAGGGAAGTACATGGGGCATGGGAGAGAAGGACAGCTGACTTTAGGAGCAAGAGGTTGGCAGTGCTTAAGACAGTCTAGAATAGTGGAAAGAGCCAGAAAAAGGACCAGGTGCAGTGGCTCACGCCTGTAATCCCAGCACACTGAGAGGCCAAGGCAGGTGAAACATGAGGTCAGGAGTTTGAGACCAGCCTGGCCAACACGGTGAAAACCCGTCTCTACTAAAAATACAAAAAATTAGCTGGGCGTACTGGCAGGCACCTGCAATCCCAGCTACTCGGGAGGCTGAGGCAGGAGAATCTCTTGAACTCGGGAGGCATAGGTTGCAGTGAGCTGAGATCGCACCACTGTACTCCAGCCTGGGTGACAGAGAGAGACTCTGTCTCAAAAAAAAAAAAAAAAAAAAAAACAGAAAAAGTGCAGAAACTAATTCAGAAAAGGGCATTTCCTCCTGGCAATGGGAAAATAGGCACATAGTCACAAAAGTGCAACAAAGGATTGAAATTGCCATATAATATGGCATTCATTAAAAACAAAAAACCCTATGTGGGCCTGCCCAGTGGGGGAGTAGAGAGTACACAGGAATCAGTCCAGGGTTTTGTTCTTAGGGAGCTTGCAATCCAGTGAGGAGAACGGAGATGCAAACAAACGGGGCTTTGGGAAACAAATAGAGGGGACAAAAGGAGCAACGAAGTCAGCCTTAAGAGAAAGGAGATCAGCATAGGTCTTTGCTGGGAAGGTCATGTTTGAGTTGATTTTTAAAGATGAGCAGGAGTTGAACAGGGAGGAGGAAGAAGGGAAGGTCAGGCAGTAGGAACTGAATGTGCAAAGGCATGGGACTGCAAGTACTTGGCACATACAGGGATTGTCAACATGAAGGCGGAGAGGCAGAATGGAGGAGAACTGTTGGGGAGACTCAGAAATCAGACTGCACCAGGAAGGACTATGCATTATCTTGGAAAGCCCTTCATCCTGCCATTCAGAGGAGATAATCCCCTGAGCTTGCTCTGCATAAATTGTGGGTGCTGGTTGAGGGTGGCTGACATACCAGGTACCAGACTGGCTGTGTGCAGCCT